ATTTCAACTTTTGTAATATGTCTGCTAGAAATCATATGCAACTGAGTTATCAAATTGTTAAAATGTCTATTTTCTAGAGACACCAGTTTTTCCGAAAACTAGTATTTTCGAATTTTAATCCAAAACTTTGCACATATAGGGAACTCAACGAGACTAACTTTCTCAATGAAATTCCCACGTATTGAACAAAGTTTCTACGAGATATAAAAAAGAGTTTGTGTAACATTCTATATGCGCAAAGTTTCAGATCAAAGTTCGATAGCTTAATCAAAATCTAAATCCTTTTAGAACTTTTATTGTAACACTATGTAGTATGTCTAAGGAAAAAGATCATTGAAATCAAAATAGTTTATATTTTTTTGTGAGTTATTTAATTAATTAATAAAAGAAAATTTTTACCAAAGTCTGTGTATCATCAATTTTCGATAAGGTATCTTGAATAAACATTTTTATTAATTCTAAACCTTTTTCTGTTATTTTTTCTTTAATTAAAAATTTCTTTTTTGTTTTTAATAAATTAATTTTATCAAAAATAATTTGATCATTATCATTTAATAATAAAATCATATTGAAATTTTTTCTTTCAATAATAATATAATCCACAAAATAATTGATAATCTCTTGTTGATCATTATCTTTTCTTAATAATTGATTCCATAAATAAGTATAAAATTCATTTGATAATTTTTCATTTAAATCACATTGAAAAATTTTTCTTGTTTCTTGATAAAGTACTAATGATGATGTTTGTTCAACAAATCGATAATAAATTTCCATAATTTGTTTATTAATTTTTATTTGTTTCATTAATTTAAAAACAGTTTCATAATGAATTTTTAAAAATTCATTATTTTCATTTTTTATTTTTATAATTGTTAAAAATTCATAACATAAATTAATATCAATAATCATTTTATGATCAATTAATAATTGAAATATTTCATAAAATATTTCATATATAAGCTAATCATTTATATTATTCGGATTTATTGTACGATAGATATTCATTAAACAATTCCAAAGTATTTCAACATATTGTTTATTTGTATGTTGAATTAATAATAAATAAATTTTTTTAATACATAAATGAATTACTTTAGGTTTTTCAATAATTTTTTTTAAAAGACATAATAATAATGATTTAGTACATGAATGAAATGTTGATTGAACATTTTTACATGTTTCACTAAATACTAATGCAAGAGAATCTAATTCATTTTCATCACGTTCTGTTGTATTAAATAAATAATCAATAAATGATTGATAATTTTCTATCTTACGTAATAAATATGCAAATGATTCAGCTGCAAATGAACGTATATATTCATAATTTGTTGTTAATGTATTTATTATTTTAGATGAAAATAAATATTTTGTATATAATTCATATAAATTAGCTAAATCTTTTAACATAATACGCCATAAATATTTAAATAAATATGTTAAACATTGAAAAACTTGTTCAAGTAATTGTGTATTTATTTCATTTTGTTGTTGTTTTTTAGAATTTATTAATAGATTAATTATATCTATGAATAAATATTGTTTATAATAGATATAAAAATCACTTTGTAAATCACGTGCTAATTGAACAATTAAATCTAATAATGTTTCAATTATTAATGGATTATATTCATTTAATGATTGTCGAATTAATAATATAATTTGTTCACGATTATAAACAACTTGTTCAAGTGAATTTGCTAATGGTAGAAGTTTTTGATAAATTTTTGAATAAGCTTCACTAAAATTTAATGTTGACCAATGTGCAAGTGATTGATGAAAATAACTTGTACGAATTAAATTATCAGTATCTTGAAGATCATTTGTGTCATGATAACGAATGCGATGGACAACATTTATATTTATATTATTCAAACGTTCATGAAGAGATTGATAACGAAATGGACGATGATCCTGTTCGTTTTGTTTTGATGTTTTTTGCTTTTTTGTCATCTAGAAAATATGAATATAAGAATTTCCTAAGATATAATTGTGTTTCTTTTTGAATTTGTACTTTTGGTTAAATTGGAGAGGCTCAAATGGAATTTGGAAATATTTTGTGGACAACCAATCATTAGTGACTTACTAGTGACCTCTGATTCTACGATATCTATTTGAAATATTTATAGTGATCCTTTTTCTTTACATAATTCTCATAAAGTAAATCGTGTAAACTTTTGTATGTCCGATAATGTTTGACTTTTTGCAAGTTAAAATTACAGAAATGAACGTATGAGATTTGAGGTGTGGATGTGGGCAGTGAAGGAAAACAATCGACGTGTATTCGACTCGTATGTGGTTATACTAGCACAAAAATTAGAAGGACTACAGATAATTGATGAACTGATATTCTTCTTTTTTTATACAGCTAAAAGCTTTCGTTAATTTATATTTCTGCCCTATTTTTCGCACTGATCAATTTTCGTACACCCGAGTGAAACATCTTTTGGAATGCACATGAAATACTTGAGCTTCTTGAGCAAGAATGTCATACGCTATGAACAAATCTTGAGAGCTGCACATTTCATACACATAAGACAAAAAAATCTATGTAAAAGAGGATAGTTTCGAGTTCCAATTACTTTCCACATCGAACATTTTTCATCTGAAAATAAGCTTGACTTGTGAAAATATATCTACTGCTTTTAATGACATTTTTTCTCATATGCGCATGACTACGTTGAAATTCTTGAACAAGAAAGTCATGCGCTATGGACAAATCTTGAGGTCTACGGACGTCAAGAATGCGAAAAAAAATTCGAGTCGGGGCATTTGTTCTAAAATCGACTATTTTCAGTTTCAATCGATCTATCTTTTGCACACAACGTTACGACAACTACATATATGAATAGCATTCGCCTTGAATGACATAAGAATTTCATTTATTGTTAATAAATGCTTTTTCATAGTTATGTTCTTATTTCATGTGTGAAGAATTGAAAAGCTACTTATTATGAATTATTTTTTGAAAAACAACTCACCTCGGGCGATGATTTATTGTTAGACATTTGCAAAAGTGGTTGTTTTCGGATTGAAATCAGTTTCTTCATTTTCTGGATTGTGTCAGTATGGTTAGTCTTGATTTTCTTTTTACAATATGAACTCATTCGATCAGATTCTGATTCGAAATCACTCACTCTTGTTGTTGAGTTCGAGAGGCAGACTAAAATGGCAATGATTATATTAGTTAATATACAGTTGATAAATTATTTCCAGTAAATACTTAATAAAAGTCAAGTTTTACTTGTCTATGATTGTGTAGCACCATATCTCGAAGTGAAATATGACGATATAAAAAATAACTTTGTTAAAAATTTCACGTATCTGAGGATCGATACGATAACTAAGCTAGGATGCAAAGTTTATATCCTAAATCTCTTGAAGAAAATAAGAAGAATCTATCACGGTATTCGAATTCTTTTTAAAGAAAATACTCATTTCTCTAATTTAATTACGAAAGAAATTGTTGTTTTCTTGTGATTTCCCCCATTGATCACATTCGCCGCGATATGAATATTATTTTTTTTCCTAAACTGTGAAATTTTCTATTTTTTTACAAATTTCTCAAAAGGATTATTATCACCTTAGAATACGTAAGCACCAAAACAGTAAATTTTTGAACTGCTTATCTGTGAGAGTACATCAATCGAAAATCGACCGGTTCGAGTATTCAACCTGTCATTCACAGCAATATAGATACTTTTAACATACAATCTTTCCTATGTTTTCTAATTTATAACTACCTGTTAGGAACACATTAAACATTCACAAAGAACTAAACGGAACGTGAAGAATATATTTCGATGTAATGTGTAAACTTTTCTTTTCTTCTTTTATTCGTAAATATTCCTTCGATGATACACGTACTAGCCTAAAAATTGACGATAATGATACCCTTATTTCCTATCTTTTTCTACAGACAATAAAAGTCAATGCAAAAGAGAAAGCAAACGAGAGTTGGAAATAATAACCACAGAATGAATGTTATTCTTGTACTTTTCTCTTTCATGTATGATTAATAACCGTATTTTCAATTGAAACTAGGTGGATTTTATCGTTGAGTGCCAAAGAAAAAAGCATCCACATCCGACATCGTCGAAAAATCAGAAAAAAACAGAAGGCATCGCTGTATAAATAGAAAAGTTGATATCTTTCTAAACAAAAAACAACTAATAATCATTTTGCACTACCGATCAAACGATAATTTGTAATCAATATGAATTGGTAAAATTCTGAACAAGAACTATTCCGATCAACAATGCATACTGCTGCATGTACAACGGGATCATTGAATACCACTCGACCGAGCTCAAAACAATTCACTTATTTGGATCGATAGTACTATTGACAAATCAGAAAAAGACTGGCAAAAGAACCTTGCACAAGTACAAAGTGTCATCAACGACGTCAATATTTTTACACAACCAGATGAATATATCCAGTTTCTTAACAGTATCAGCCTGGAAACGATTTTTCTAATTGTTTCGGGATATTTAGGTCAAAATCTCATGCCAGACATCCATGATATGCTGCAGATAGATGCTATCTACATCTTTTGTGACAAAAAAACGCGACATGAGCAGTGGACAAAAGAATCGAGAAAGATTCAAGATTTTTTACCTCAAGATGCCATTACTTAGGGACGTTCGCAAGCATTATAGACAGTGAGAGAAATCTGGATTCAATTTCTGATAACTTACATGAAAATATTTGGGAAAAAACAACCACTTTTAAGTATTTTTGCGATCATTGTGTTCAGTTACTCAAATACGACTACATAAACCTTGTTAAGTGAGTATTAACCTATAAATAAGCCAATACAGTAATATATATACAATAGTTACTTTCACTGGAACACTTTCTAGTATATTGGCGACAATAACATTTCAGAGTATCGAACACTTATCTGTGTTCGATGTTTTTATCAATATCTTTTAGGATTGACTTCTCGATACTTTATGTAGATTACTGTTTAGGAAGTGATTCTACTTGTTTGTTGGAGACACTATTGAAACTTTACAATTAAATTTCTTTTTTATTTTTTTCAATTTGATCGGCTATGAAAACAGATATTCATACCACGTGACCTATTTTGTCGTACATGAAATCGTCAAGAATTCAATTTTGACTAAATTTCGTAAAAAAGGGCAAAACGTACAGAAAATCTACTGTTGCTGCTGAGAAAAACTAGACCGGTTTCATCACTAGTTTCTTCCTACCTCAACATCGGTTTTGGGTATAACAGCATGGGTGAGTACTCAACAGCATTTGAATTTCATGAAAAAGCAAATAAAATATGCAAAGAAGCTGTCTCCGAATCATCCCGATTTGAGTATTTCCTACGACAACATCGGTCAAGTGTCTGAAAACATGGGTGACCACTTCAAAGCACTTTCGTATTTAGAAAAGGCACTTGCTATTCTACAAAAATCACTTCCACTAACGTATCCTCTCATATCAAGAACGCAATAGATTATTTTGACTATGTAAAAACAAAAACTTAAACGTGTTTTTTTCTTTTTGCTAGCTGAACAAACTCATTCACATTGCTATTTACCTCTTTCGGCTTCTCTCAGCTCATTATCGGGAGCGCACGTGATTAGGGAGGCCTTCTGTAAGGCTGAAATGGATATCCACAGAGAGGACTATGCCGAGCCAGTAGAGCAATAAACATAGGTATGACTTGCAATAACGACGCTAGGGATCTACAAACTCATGGACCTTTCCGAGTATTACATTAGTTTCGCCATAGTAGGCACAAGGAACCTCTCTAGGTCAGATTACAAAGCCATCTGACGCGCTGTGATATAATATGGTAGCTCACCATACTACTACTAGTGCACAATAATTTTGCTATTATAAAGGGAAAATAATTTAACATATATCAAAAACAAAATTTTCTACTTTGACGTATTACGATTAATATATGCATATGTATTAAAATATTATTCTGTCCAGGATACATTGAATATGTCTACTTTATCGAAGAACTATCTTGAGAAGTTCCATTGGTCACTAGGACTTCTCAACTCATCAATATACATGAGGACTACAAAAGCTTTTCCGCTCGGCTTTCCTGAAAGTTATAATTTGAGTCTAATTATTGTATTATAATCCATAGACATATTTAGGATTATTATGCGCAAAATTCAGCCTTGTAGATCTTATAAATCATGGTATACTCTTATTTCTTTCAAAGTGATTACACACTATTCTTCAATCTGAATTTGAACTCTCAGTATGAAGTAGGCTCGGCTTTGTGTTCGATTACTCACTGATGAATTAAAAACGTGCGCTCAGTCGGAACCCTATTGAAATAGGCCTAATTTTCTCTAAATTGGATTTTGTGATTGTTATAAAAAAAATGATATTTTCATGTAAAATTACGGTGCAAAATAGTTGACTTCACAGTTTACATTCAGATCGAAAAATAGTGTGTGACTACTCTGAAAAAAATAAGAATATGTCACGATTCATAAAAACCTACGAGGCTGAATTCTTATGCATGATTCTAAATATGTCTATGCATTATAATATAATATGCAGACTCAAATTATGACTTTCAGGAAAACCAAGCGAAAAAACTTTTGTAGCCCTTCATGTATTTTATCCTGAATTAAGAAAAAACTAAACTTAGTACTTTACTATATTGCTTATTCTTCTTAATAGAACAAAAATAAGTAACATACCCTATTCGATATTAGAAAACATAAGTCAGTGCATGAATTAGTTAACAGTGTTACGATTCGACCGAGACGATGACAGAAGTCGATAATTCGACTTTGGAACATTCTAAATAATTTTGTTGTAATACCACATTGCCATTTTAAAATATTTTGGTAATATTTTTGAAACATGAATACTATATTTCATTAATCTAAGATATGTAAATGATGATATGGTACCATATGAATGTAAAAATTCCAGCCTCATTGGAATAATTATATATTGTA